TAATATCAATAACAGGGGCTTTTAAATGTAAACATAAAAATGAAGATTGTAAATGACTGAAAAGGTAAGGCAATACTTTATCTCTGAGGAATTGTGGACTTTTTTGTCAATCACAGTACTTTAGAGGTCGCGTCCAAATGTCCAAAAGAAGACTCCCCCACTCTTTTCCATGTGTTGTGACCATCTTGCATCCTTAGTTAAGGGTGTAGAATGATGAAGTCGCGCCAGATAGGAAATAAAAACTGCCAGTTATTCATACTTAAACCTTCTGGTTACTGTTCAAATGTACATGTAACGTGCATATGTATTTGCAAATGTTACACTCAATTTACGTGCTAGGCGTACGTTCACGAACCTGTGTTCTGCCAGAAAGTGATTTCTGATGTTTCTATATGTTTTTTACACGTAACACCTTTGCCTATATTCTTAAATAAACTGTAGTCAGCTGGATTCCCACAGAGGTTATAAAATGAAGGAATAACCTGCTTTGTCTCTATGACTCTGTGTTATTGTACCTACATTATAATCAATTCAGTGCTTTATGGAAACTTAATATATTTTAATAGAACTCTAATGTTACATTTGTTGCAATTTCTGCTGCAATCTTGGCCATATCTCTGTTGAAAAAGTCATTTTTATTGTCAGTGACAATTTTACGTGGATAAATAACAGATTGCAGCACCTACCTTGTAACAGCAATTGTAACAGCAGTTTGTGACTTGATATCATTCATAAGAGATACATTTGACAGATTATAGGTTTCATTAAGTTCTAATAAACATATATAGATATGCTACGATCGTTACAGTATGATGATAATGATGATGTCCGTGAAAGAATTTGTCTGGTTTTCAATTTATTTGCTTTTTGACTGCAGTTTAGAAATGTGCATATGTATAAATGCTTGAATTTCAGACCTTTAGTTTCAAATTGCACATGAGCAGCCAGGCATGTTGGAAAACCACGTGCTGGCATTTTGTTCTTTCTACTTTTATCTTACAATTTATTCACATTAATGGGAATTTATACACATTTATCATTGCCATTGTAGCTACATTCAAAGTTTCTGTTGCACATTCCTAAACATTTATTGTATCTGTACTCTGGAACTGTAGGTCTGGATGTCTGTGCATGTACTCTCTTTCCCTCTTTGGATCCACAGAGATGATTTTGATCCTGCCCTCCTCCACCCCGGTTTTGAGCCTCCTCACTATGAACTCTGTACTCTGCGTCGTGCCCCCTCTGGTGAACTGACCGATCCTGCCCTGGCCGAGGACTTTGACAAGTTCCACAAGCTGAGACGCTCCGAAAGCAAATGCATCCGCGACCACCACTGTGGCTCTCACCAGGGCAGTGTCCACGGTAGCCGCAGCAACTTGAGCGTGAGGGACGCCACCATTGTACCTGATGGGGGGGCTCTTGTGCCCCAGTTGCAGCCAGTGATGGTGAACCAGCAGTCGCCCCGACTCTCTCACCACAACACGCCGACGAGTCGACGGAACATTGTGGTGATGAAGCACAGCTACTCACAGGACGCTGCAGGAGGGTACAGGGCAGAGGAGGAGGAGGATTTAATGATGGATGATGGTCCCACCACCAGTCAGCACCACATGTACCATCATCCAATCCACCACGGCCCATCAGGGCTTGACCACACGGTCCATCGTACACTGTCTAATGACTTCTAATTAAAAGAACAACAAAAGGTCCCAAATGAAATTGCAGTAAAAATTAATATTGCAAATAGAGGTGGCCAATTTTGTTGTTTTTTTTAAAAAAAGGTTTTTACCTAATATGGTCAGTAGAGTTCCTTTTTCTCAGGCATTCCAAGTAATTTCCAAGAATGCAATCCAAAAGTCTTTTTAATAGTAATTCCCAAAAACACTCTGTCAATGAGACACTGCTCTGTCAATGTAATTCATGAGAGATGGTTCCAAGGACGAGTAGGCCTATTTTGCTGGATCACAGTTCCATTTTTTCCTTTTTAGGTTCCTTGTTTGTTTAATGTTTCCACTCTAGGCTAGAATATGTCACATAGATCAAATCATATTTAAAATAATATTATTCATTAATTATTTTGATGTTTGAAGTGTTTCCTATATGGATGAACATGCCTACAATACCAAAGCAAGAAAAATGCAATTATAAGTGTTATTTATCATCCGATTTACATGTATGTCAGGTCATATTGAGGCTGATTTATTTCATGTTTATTTACTGAATTATTAAATATTTACCCTCTGCTTGAATTTGACCATGGCACAGCATATTAATGTGTGTGTGTGTGTGTGTGTGTGTGTGTGTGTGTGTGTGTTCGTGTGTGTGTGTGTGTGTGTGTGTGTGTGTGTGTGTGTGTGTGTGTGTGTAAAAAAGCCAGTTCATCACAAATGAAAAACATTAAATGTGTATTTGAATAAAAGGTTTAGCCACCAGAACATTATTCACAGAATTCTGGCATTTCACACAAAGTTTATCAGTGATTTTCATAAAATATCTCACGAAATAGGTTCAAGGTTCAAGGTTCTTTATTTGTCACATGCATAGTTATACAAGTATAACACACACTAAAATGTAAACATTCATAATCTAGTTACTTTTAAGTTTGATATATATATATTTATTTATTTATTTATTTATTTTTAACCACGCTCGAAACATAATGAAAGCTAGCTTGAATGGGAACGAAAGCATGGAGGAACGGTTTGTAGTTCCTCTTTGTTATCCACTCGGGCCGATTATAGCCTTGCACAGGTCGTGTATTACAATGCTTACATGTTACAATAACATATAAATAGCAGGACTTTGAACTACGATAATCTATTTTTTCGTAACTAAGGACAACATAGACTTGCAATTTGTTCGAACAATATTTAATTTCATTTATGAAAACTTGAGGTCGAATAAGTAAGAGCTTGCTAGCTGAAACACAGTCCCCGCTGTCATTCATGGAGTTCAGCGAACGATTGCATACGTTGCGTTAAACTAGCGTCATGTCACAAGAGGAGCTCCTGCTGGACTCGGGACAGCCTAATGAGAATAACAGGGACAGAAAGAGCAGGAGCCGCATTGGGCTCGTCGTAACAGGTTTAGTGGGAGGGTCGCTGGTTGCTCTGTACGCAGTGGCTGCTCCGTTTGTAGCCCCTGCCCTGAGGAAAGTCTGCCTCCCGTTTGTCCCGGCCACCACGACTCAGGTGGAAAACGTCCTCAAGGCGTTAAGGGCAAGGTCGGGAACCCTGGTGGACATAGGGAGCGGAGATGGAAGGATAGTAAGTACTGTTCTGCCCTCTGAGCCCCCTCTGGAACTATAAAGTTATAGTTGCAAGAAAAATAAAAAGGTATTGAAAGCCTTTAGAGAAACCATGATTTTATGCAAGGCGCAGTTAAAGATTAACAAAATATAATCAAACTTTTTTTAAAAAAAGCTCGTAAATCATGTCTTAGTGATCGCAAAAGGCTTCTTTATCACCTACAAGCTCCAGCAGCTGTGTCCCGTAGCTGTTCAGGAGAACAGGGGACCAGTTCCGCCCTACAGACTGTTTAGTTTATGAGTATCTGGGATGTCATGTGGCTGAACAACTGTTATGTTGTTGGTTTACTTTTGTGCTTTGGATCGTGTCTTACACCTTTTGCCATCCTCTCCTAAGCTTCTGGTCAGGTCATAACTGTTGTTCTGATATCGTCTGTTCTTTATACAGTTTTGAAATAGTCCTGGTCTTATGACAGTTGGGCTAGGCTTAAAAAAATCCAGGGCTAGTGCAGTGTTAGGCTTGAAGATTACCACGCATGAAGGCCAGAGGGTTAAAAAAAATTGAAACTGTCTTTGCAAACAGCTTTAAAGGGTGAAAATTTAATTTCAGTAGCAACCAATCTAACATGATTTACAAACGTGTGTGTGTGTGTGTGTGTACTATACTGTTTCCCCTTGCTTCTTGCAGGTGATTGCAGCAGCCAAACATGGTTTTCATGCGTCAGGGTTTGAGCTGAACCCCTGGTTGGTGTGGTACTCTCGCTACAGGGCCTGGAGGGAGGGAGTCTACCGCTCCACCTCATTTCACATCTCAGACTTGTGGAAGGTCAGTGGTTTCTGAAAACAAACCTTTGTTTTACAGACATCTGCTGTGATGAAGTTAGTCATTTAGCATGTTACTTCCTTTTTCCTTTCTTAGGTCAGCTTTGCTCAATACTCCAATGTTGTCATTTTTGGAGTCCCTCAGATGGTGAGTACCTCTGTGTCTCACCAAAATGCAGAAACTTGATGAGTTCAAATCATCATGCTAATCATGTTTGTTTGCTGCTTTTATCTTCAGATGGAGAAGCTTGAGCTGAAATTGGCAAGCGAGCTGCCTAGATCAGCCAAGGTGGTGGCCTGTCGCTTCCCCTTCCCTACGTGGATTCCTGAAAGTACCGCGGGGGAGGGCATAGACACTGTATGGGTGTATGATGCAAAGACATTTAAATCACACCTGTAACATAAGAAAATCAAGTCTAGAACACCATTCTACTCTCAGATTATTTTAAAAACTTTTGTAAAAATTTTGATAAAACTAACTGTAACTGGAAATAGTTACATATATTTCTTAACATTTAAAACTACAAAAACAGGAAAAAAGGAAACGATCAGTGCTGTACATTTGAAATGTGTGACCATGTGAAATGACCATGACAATAAAAAATGATGATTGAGAATAAGTATTACTGTTTATTAATTGTTGTATAACGTTGCCCATAAGTTTCAGTGCAAGTTGCGGGGATTATACCAGAGTCCTAGGAGGAAGCTGAACAGTGAACACACATCTTGGTGATTATTTTGGCAGTTATTATGAACTGCTTACATACATTAGCTTTAATTGTCTTATTTAAAAATAAAGTCAACATGTTTATACCAAAAATAGTTCTAAAAAGTTTGGGGGGGGGGGGTTCCCAAGGAAGTTTAGTTTCTTTTATAATGTTTGCATTAATAAAAACGAGCTTGTTGCGCGGAGCTGCCATCTAGTGGTGAAACTATCGCATTAATACTTGTTGTTTTGTGTACCGCTAGCTGATGAGCCATGAAGTAAAACAGGCTGAATTTAATTTGAAACGCATGATGACGTCAAACTTAACAGGGCACTGAAATAAAGTCTTCCTAGAAATGTTTATATGTAGATAGCCGGCAGTCATCGCTGCTGCACGGACTGCTTAAATCCGGACTGCTGTGGAGCAGGGCTGCTTTAGCAGCCAGCCAAGATGGACACCGCTGAAGAAGGTAGCTAATGCCCAAACTTGATTACCTTAATTATTTGCGCTAAATGGTAAAGCCATTCATGCTGACTTTGCATGTGACCTAACTGGCCCTTAACTGTTGTTGGTAGCAACGACCACGGCTCCGTTGTCTTAAACTTCGGCAAAGGTTCGCCAGAATTAGAGAAACCGCTAGCCAATTAGCGTTAGCCAACCAGCCAGCTAGCTGGCATTAGCTTACACCCTATAAGCTGTCAGGTCTATGTGGAGCCAGAAATCCGAGAACGCATTACATGGGCACTGGATAGTGGTTACAACGTAGAAATTGTAGAGGGAGTCCAATTCACAGTGAAGCCACACGCAAAATTATCTAGTTATGAGTTAACCTTTAATAAGTTGAGCCATTGAAACCGTTATGGGAGCGTACTGAACAGTATGACATAATAAGCTAGCGGTACCTTGGTAAGGTTGGCAGGTTAACGCATTTAGGCTACCATTTGACAAGGCTCATTCACAACTTTGCGAGTTCAACTAAAGAGAAATTGTTATTATGACGAATGCTCTCGACATACTCCAAAAGCCTGCATTTTATAGTATATTTGGACTTCCAGACAACAAGCCCATTATATTTTCCCTGAGCGAGAATGAAATTGTTTTTAGCCACTAGCATATATCTGAAGGATATACCATAAATATATATAGCTAAGGGTAGTATCCTAACTGGTGTTATGCTCCTACTTCTTGGGCTAATTATAGTCATTTTATTTTTGTCATGCAGTGACACTGATAATCCAAGGATTTACAGTGTGCCCTAGTCTGACCCATACTGTTACAGTCACTGTAAATACGAATCCAATGCACAGATTCAGTGCTGACACATGTACACTGTCAGCGTTTTGTAGAAAGGTATTAGTCGTTTTGTTTTACGGCTCACATGTGTTTATTAGTGTGGCTCAGTATATGTTTGGTGGGTTTTTGTTGTTGTTTTGTTTTGTTTTTTAAAATAGCACTGCCAGACTGTCTTTAGCTATGCAGATTCTTATCACTGTGTGCCTTTTGTACAGCCGATATCTGCCGGGTATGTCGGTCAGAGGGGACCCAGGACAAGCCCCTTTACCACCCTTGTGTTTGCACCGGCAGCATCAAGTTCATCCATCAGGAATGGTATGCAAGTGAGCAAGATGTTCATGTACAAACTTTATGGTTTTCTCTTTTCGCTTGCTTTTCATGGCCATATGTGCAGCTTGCAGGTTTTGGTTTTTGGTCACATGCAAGTGCACGTGGTTGTGCAGTCCACAGAAATTACTAGATGTGAATTTCCAATTACATTTGCAAACAGTTGGATTTATCCTGCAGACCTTGCCTTTTTTGGAGGGGGGCAGTCTCACTGTGATGCTGTAAGATCTGCCTTTCATGTGGATGTTGCTTTGGCCATCTATTTAAAATAAATAAATAAATAAATCTAGAGCTGCCTCTTTCAAAAGGAGTAATTTGCCCTGCCATACTGCAAAAGTTTTTCAGGAATGCTTTAAAAGTATGAAAAAAGGTTTCAGTGTGTTGACTTGGTCTCAGAATTCCCCAGATCGCAATCTTACCAAGGTTAATGTAGGATTTGCTGGAAAAACAAATGTGATCCACAGAGGACCCACCTTGCTTAAGGACTTAAGGATGTGTGCTAACATCTTGTTCCTTGATACCACTGGACGCGTTCAGAGACTACTGAGGAAGATTCTTGTGCAATTCTCTATGAGACATGGGTAAATTCACTGTTTCATTTTGTTTTCACAGCTTACTGCAGTGGCTGAAACACAGTAGAAAAGAATACTGCGAACTATGCAAACACAGGTTTGCATTTACACCAAGTAAGTTGTTTTTATTAAATCATTCAATGTCTTAAGACTGCATTCATTTGTTGTTAGTGCCTTCAAATGCCCAATTATTGTCTGACAATTTATTTCTGTATTGCTCTTCTCATCAGTCTATTCTCCAGACATGCCGTCTCGCCTACCTGTGCAGGACATCTTTGCAGGGCTGGTCACCAGTATTGGAACAGCCATCAGATACTGGTTACACTACACACTGGTGGCCTTTGCCTGGCTAGGTGTGGTACCGCTCACAGCATGTAAGCCACATCTTGGAATTGCAACTAACGATTACTTTCATTATTTGTCAGTTTGTCAGTATATTTAAATAATAATTTTACTCTAAACATAAGAGGATTTAAAAAATGTATTAAGCTTTCCATCACCTGAACATGTCCTAACACACTACAGCTGTGTTTGCATATGAAACCGCAGTATCAAATGTGAAACAAAGATTTGGGGAAATTTTATGTTTTAAGTGGAGGTAAAACATTTGAATTGGTTAATTGACTGAACTTGCAACCAGTTTAGTATAGTTAAAAAAAAAAAAAAAAATGCTTGAAAACAAATAGACCCTTTGGGCTATTTATGCTAGTCAAACTAATGTTTGACTAGCATAAATAAATCACATGTGCTCTAATTAGATGTTTTAGTTCAGCACAGCGTGAAATGTAACACCATAAATGTACAAATTTGAAGCAGTTTGGTTTTAGTTATAAACTAGTTGAGAAGTGATCGCCATGTTGGGGGTTTTGTGTTTGTTTGTTTTTTGTTTTTTTTCCCGTCAATTTTGCTTTCATTCTGTGTTTCCCAACAGGTCGTATCTACAAGTGTTTATTTACCGGCTCTGTGAGCTCTCTCCTTACCCTACCATTAGATATGCTTTCAACGTAAGTGTCTGCTTTTGGTTTTGTGCCTCCTCTCTCACAAAGTCAAGCTGCATTTGTTCTGTCGTGTACTTTGTTTTCTTTATGGCTTGCACAGTGTTGCTGTTTAAATCGGTGCGTCCCAACACTTTTTATTTATTTTGTGTGCTTCTCATGTTCCTCACAGCCCTATCAGAAGAATGCATGGCATGTTTCACATTTCGTCATTTGGATTAGTTTGACCCGAATGTTGTTCATAAAACGTACCCTTTTCTTTTATTTCTCCTCTGTCTCTCAATCAAGCTGAACTACTGTCACTAGCAACTCTGAATAACCCAGAGATCATGGGAAACTATAAATTTCTGTTCCAGAAAGACTGTTGCTTCCGAGTTTATCTCAGACTCCTTCCCTCCCACTGCACTAGAACCAGCTGATTTACACTTTATTTCTTTTCCTCATTTATAAAGTCGCTCTTTAAATGCAGGCTGCTGACAGTCTGTTAAAATTCAAAGATTCAGTCGTTAAATGATGTCAACAACATTTTTAAGGTGCAGATTCTGAACCTCAATATATTTTCCACTAAATCCCCTAAATCAGTCTCAGTTGGTCTAAGCGCCATCACAAGCCAAAATAGGATTTTGGCTTGTGATGACCTCTTCGTGGGCACTGACATTTTCTCTGCTTTGTAGCGTGCATGCTAATTAGCTCCGCTGTGTGGTGCAGTGCTGCTCTTTTCCTCTCTGTTCACAGTGCTGCATCTTTGCTTGTTTTCAAACTTATGTGTAATTTTCATCCTCCAAATGTGTCCATCTACATGTCCATGAACAGACAGCAAATGTGGAACTGGTTTTGTCCAATGCAAACATTCTGCTCTGCAGTCCTCCAAAATCCCAACAACTCAATATCTCATCAGTGACGGTCAAATGTTTCTTTGTAATGGTTGCAAAATCTCATTAGTGGCGGAAATAGTGTTACTTAAATAATCTGAATGTTTTTTGAAAATTGATGCCATGTCTCCTTCTCACAGGCAAAACCTGCTTGCTGACTGCCTCCAAGGCTGTTTTGTGGTCACATGCACACTATGTGCCTTCATCAGCCTGGTGTGGCTCAGAGAGCAGATTGTGCATGGAGGCGCTCCTCAGTGGTTAGAGCAAAATCAACCCCCACTGGTTCTTAATCAGCCCAACGGCCCTGCACCAGCTAATCAGGTGCGTTTTGTTTGTTTTTGTTTTAATTCATTTTTTCCTCCTCTTTAACTCTGAGCAAGAGTGGGGCTGATAAAGACTTCCTAGATTCTGTTAGCTTCCTGCTACAGTTTACCATTACTCTGACATGGTTGGCATAGCAACAGACTCATATCTGTAAAAGTTTGCTAGTTAACGCTCAAAACAGTTTCTAGTTAAAATCATACATTTTATAATCTCTGACAGCAGAAGACAGATTTGGCCAGAGGTGTTGTGTTTTCGGGTTGTACATGTGTCCCATTCTAACACAGCAGCCCGTTAATGGTGTTCAAAGCTCCCTGTGAATATTTAATGTGATAACGATGGAGTGATGAATTACATTTTGCATCCCAAACATTAGTGGTCACATCTGGACAATGTGGATATAAACTCCATAGTGACCCCAAGGCAGGAGTTTGATTAAAATACTCTTTCTGTTTTTCAAATACTGAACTTACATAAGCACAAAATTACTTTATTAACTTTCAGCAGGTTTTATTAATGAACTGTCATGTCTTTCATTATATTCACAGGGTGTGGGCGGTAACGCTGCAGCCAATGCTCAGGATCCTGCAGATGCTGAAGCTGCCCAGAATCCTGCAGAGCTTGGTCCAGATGGGCTGGCGCCTGCTAATGTGCACGAAGCTGGCAACCATGATGAGGCAGAACTGGATGATGATGAAGACGATGATGATGATGATGATGAAGGGGAGGATGATGACGAGGAAGAAGAGGATGAGGAAGGGAGGGAGGAAGATGCTGCCGATGCCAATGATGGAGGACAAGGTAGGCGAGCATTTTTCGGAACGTTATTTTTAATGTGTTTGTTTTAAACACTTGCTGTTCTGCTGTGGCACCGTTTTTATTTCTTGACAGATGAGTGGTTCTGGACATTTGTGGCTTTGAATCAGTAATGTTTGAAAAGCCTTCAGTAAGAAGCACGACGTGTACCAAGTCTTACAAAGTCCTTGGAAGGCCTTTGGGTTTGGGTTATTTTTTTGTTTTATTGTTGTTTTTTGTAAGCTCTTATCTAAATAAATGGAGAGAGCCTCAGTATTGATTTTTGTGGTCACAGGGACATAAAAGCCGCAGGCTAGATCTAATAAAACCAGCTTTAGATATTTGTCTTTGCCCTAAAGCTTCAAAATGGGTTTCTGTTTTGTTTTTTCTTTGCAAGTTATACTCCTGATACAGATCCTCACAGCTTCAGTAACCACTAAATCGAGGGTGTCAGCATCTCTGCACTGAATAAATGCAAAGCTAATTTGCATTAGAGTTACAGTAAACTAGGAAAGTTTTAAAAAAATGTATTTGTTTACATGTTAACTACAATGGGGACTAGATGTGCCAACCTCTACTGTACATGTGTGTCAGAGAAACAACATGATTGGCTGTTTCCTTTTTCAGCTGCATGTTTGCTCTTTAGGGGCAAGTCAGCCCTTTTACTACTTCTCCAGCTGAATTCTGTTCAGTATCCTGAGTGCCTCGTAGCCACCTTTTTTATCTTCATCATATTTTTAATACATGATGTGTCTGGACTACCTTTACTACACATGATGATGCACACTGGAGGGGTTTCCAAAAGCGTCTGGGTATGACTTTAAAGATAAAGTCCAGCCCTTCAGTACTATGTACTTGTGTAATAAGGGAAGGAAGAGGGTTCGCTGCTGCTGTTGTTTCTTAGTGTTTCTCTGGTCTGTGTTCTCCTTTGCAGAAGATTTGAACTGGAATGCACTGGAGTGGGACCGTGCAGCAGAGGAGCTGACCTGGGAGAGGGTAGGAATCTATTTTTCTTCTTCTCTTTTCTGCTCTGTAAAGCCACGTGACTGAAACTGCACCTGTTAAGGGCTGTTTTCGATTATTATTATTATTATTATTATTATTATTATATATTTTTTATTAGCCGGAGTTTAGGGGTGCAGCAATACTCGTATCAATATTGAACCATTCGATACAGTGCTTTTGGTTTGGTACGCATATGTATCGAACAATACAAATTTTTTTTTATTTATTTTATCAACTTTTCTTCTGACGATGCTGTCTGTGGTGAGTGCTCAGTGGATCTGCGTTCGACTACTCCGCCTCGGCTGCACTGTCGAGTGCAGATCTATGGGCTCAAAATGTGGTCATAAATATTTTGTACTTGTAAATCAGTTTCGTATGTGTAAAAAAGATTTGTATGTGTAAAAAGAAAAGATTTGTGTGTGCGTAAAAAAGATTTGTTGGTGGACTTAGCCAAAAAAAAAACACTGCAAGTTACAAGTACGGATTTTGACCCCATTTTTCTTCCTTTCATCTGATTGGTCAATGTCTTATCAATCACAAATGTAACAATCCAATCAGAGAACAGATGGGTTTGGCTGTCGGATTTTTTTTTTTTTTTTTTTGAACTGCAGGTCTTTGAAGGGAATAAATGCCCTTTTACATGCCAACCCAGCGTTTTCCTTCATCGCCACGAAGGAAAACAGTCTGTGGTCGTCCGAGTCAAGGCAGTGTTTTGAAAATGACAGTCTTCATTACAAAGCTTTCTTCGTTATGAATTAGCATACATGTTTTTATTGAACATTTGAAGAACTAGCAAGAAAAACGGAAACTCTTGTAGAGGACATAAAGTCAGAGATAGAAAAAACAAGGAGCAGGTGCATCTAGTACAGGTAGAGCTGCTGCAAAAACCCACAGACCCAGCAGCCAGCGCAACAAATTCTGGATCCTTTGCTTTTAGTTAGCAGTTAGCCTTAGCAGCACATCCTGCGTCCGATGTGAAAGGACTTTTATGCTGCGCACTGTGACTCACAGCAATGGTCCCGGGTCAGCCCTGACTTTGAGTTAAACTAATCCTAAAGTAATAATGGTATTTCTAACTGATATACCACAAATTTATCCTTTCAACAGCTGCTGAAAGTTAGGGGACCTAGCTGCTATCGGATATTTATATAGAGATCCTCCAGCTTCAAACTCTATTACCCTTCAAGGACCTGCAGTTCAAAAAAGCGCCCCTCGACAGCCAAACCCATCTGTTCTCTGATTGGATTGTTACATTTGTGATTGACATGACATTGACCAATCAGATGAAAGGAAGAAAAATAGGGTCAAAATTCGTACTTGTAACTTGCAGGGGTTTTTTTTTTTTTTGGCTAAGTCCACACACACTTTTTTTTTTTATGCACACACACCTTTTTTTACGCACACACACATCTTTTTACACATACGAAACTGATTTACAAGTACAAAATATTTATGACCACATTTTGAGCCCATACAGATCCGCTGAGCGCAGCTGTCGGATGTGCCACGCAATGCTCAATTACATTGGTGGGAACAAGTGCGTTAGCGCAGTTGGCTCGTTAACGTGGTGACGCCATCCAGCCCCACCCACTGGGCGGTCCGCAGTAACTCGTTAATGGAGATTTGCCGCGTTATGGCGTTAGTGTCATTTTAACGAGATTAACGCTGACAGCACTAGTGGGAACGCAATGAATATGACTGCGCATTTACGCTGACATCATCCTAGTGCAAAGACAAGTGGAAGCAGACAAAAACAACAAGCACGCATGCTACAAACTTTACCCGAGTCATTTAGACAACCGTTAGCACGTGATTCTCCTTATGGTGACCTGATATGTTTAATATGCTGCTGAGAATGTATCCCAGAAGAAGCATATAGTATAGCTTTTATTTTGGAAAGAGCCATTTCTCTGAAATAAACTCTCTTTTCCAAAGATGAGTAATTTCTCGATCTGATTGATTTTTTTTTTTATTATTATTTTGTTGTTTCAGCAACATTAAATTTACAAACTGTACTTTTGAATTAAAATATATATTTATAAATTTAATAAATGACAAATTAAAAAGGCATGAACATTGTTTTGTATCGAAAAAATATCGAACCGTAACACATGAACATATCAAACCGAACCATGAATTTTGTGTATCGTTGCACCCCTACCTGAATTCATGTGTTGAATGGTCTCAAATGGTGACTCTAACGAGTACTTTATGTTCCAGATGCTGGGGCTGGATGGTTCCCTAGTTTTCTTGGTAATTTTACATCTATCTTTCATATTTACATTTCTGACACTATTTTATACACTGTTTAAAATGTTCTCTGCCAAAATTAGTCATTCAGTGTAGATTAATGATTGATTCATTGTTTGTTTTTCAAACCACTTTAAAGCCTTTAAAATCACTAAAAATAATACAGAATAATGCGTAGCCACCTGATCTTGTTGGAAGGTGTTCAGGATGATGGAGCTGACTTGATCTGTAGCAGTTGCTTTTAAAAGTTTGAAATAATAGTTTAACTGAATTTCAAAATAAACTTTTTCATAAAGTGAAAGCTGGAGTTCTGTTGTGTGTCCTCTATAGGAACATGTGTTTTGGGTGGTGTCTCTCAACACACTCTTCATTCTGGTCTTTGGTGAGTCCCAGTATGTTTGAGTAACGTGATGATGATATGATGAGTACATTATGAGAGAGTCATGGGTTCACTTCACTTCTAATACACCCTCTGTATTTCCTCTAGCATTTTGCCCATATCACATTGGTCACTTCTCAGTGGTTGGACTTGGTTTTGAAGACTATGTAAGTGCTTAGGACACACGTGTACACTTTGAACACTGTACTGTACCATGAGTTTGACCTACACTAATGGAATTTCTTGTGTTTGTTTGTAGATCAAAGCCTCACACTTTGACGGCCTTATAACCACCATACTGGGGTACATCCTCCTGGCTGGAGCCCTTATTGTCTGCCATGTATCCTTGACCTAATACAAGTATTTGAATCTTACACACTAAGAGTGTAGTTGATTTATCACTTAGTAATGTTTGCTACAAGGACAATTTGTCCAGTTTTTATTAAATATTTTTGCTATAAGTTCTTAACTTATCCACTTATTTAAATCATCATCAAATGTATTGTCCTATAACATGAATATAATCTAACTTCTACATACTATAGGGTAACTACAAATCCTGATGAACGTCGTATATTTTTGGATATGCGACCTAAAATGTCACAAAATGGGGAGGGGGGTATTATTTAGCTACAGTAGGACTTCTGTGAATATCTGGAGAGGTTTTTGGTCTTAAGGCCATCTTTTAAGCACGGTCCCAAAAAACCTTAAGAGAAACTATTTATCATCTTTAGCTTGAAGCTGTTTGTATCTCAGATGAGGCTTTGTTTCATAGTGCTGATTAAGAAGTGCAGGTTGTCAAACTTTCTGTGAGTCCTTAACTGCCCCTCTTTTAGGCCCTGGCTTCATTAGTGAAGTTCCAGAGGTCCAGACGCCTGCTGGGTGTCTGCTACATTGTTGTCAAGGTAAAATAGAGCGATGCAGCACTCTGTGTTGGTTTTGGTTTTCTGTTTGTCTAAATAGCAAAGCTTTCAGCTGAAACAATAATTAGTGAAATTATGATTACCTGTAAACAGAAGCTAAATTGCAAGTGTTTTCTATGTTGCAGGTGTCCCTGCTGGTTGCCATGGAGATAGGCTTGTTCCCACTTATTTGCGGCTGGTGGCTCGACATTTGTTCACTGGTAAGACAAACATGCAGAGTTAGCTCAGCTCATCCTGTTGATACAGTCGCATGCTGGCTTTTAATGACTAGCCAAACACACTGATTGCACTCACATTGACGGCATGTGCAGCGACTTGATCAAGAAGGAAAAACAATGTTAAATTGTGAAATGCTCAAAATGCTACAATTCCTAAAAACTGCTTTATAGCTGGTCACATTTTAAACACCTTTGTCTTTATGTATTGCAGGAGATGTTTGATGCCACTCTGAAGGACAGGGAGCAGAGCTTTGACTCTGCTCCTGGCACCACCATGTTCCTCCACTGGCTGGTCGGTATGGTCTACGTCTTCTACTTTGCCTCCTTCATCCTTTTGCTCAGAGAGGCAAGTGGGTTGTTACGGACAGTGACATGGAAAACTCTCAAACAATGTTTTCTGAAAAAATTAGAGATTTCCCTCATGCTGTGTGCAGGTGCTCCGGCCAGGTGTGCTGTGGTTCTTGAGGAACCTGAACGATCCAGACTTTAACCCAGTCCAAGAGATGATCCACCTGCCCATCTATAGACACCTGCGGAGGTTCATACTCTCTGTGGTCAGTCAAACATTCTCCAGTTTACGTTTAACCTGAAGCGTGACTGAACACCAACCAATCGCAGCAGATGGCCCCGCCCCTCCCTGAGCCTGGTTCTGCTGGAGGTTTCTTCCTGTTAAAAGGGAGTTTTTCTTCCCCACTGTCGCCAAAGTGCTTGCTTATAGGGGGTCATATGATTGTTGGGTTTTTCTCTGTATGTATTATTGTAGGGTCTGCTTTATAATATAAAGCGCCTTGAGGCGACTGTTGTTGTGATTTGGCGCTATTTAAATTGAATTGAACAACAATAAGATTTACATTTAGTCTCTGAAAAAAGAAGAAATGTGTATGAGCGCATATACAAGCATAGGAATGGCTAGATAAATATTTGCTGTAGGGAAATGAAAACAAAGTGCTTTGTACATTTTTAAGTTTTTGAGATTTCTGCCTCCCTGCCATCTTAATACAGTGAAGTTGAGTGGACTCTTGTTTGTTGGACAATATGTTCTTTTGCTTTTAACGTCACCCCTCTGAACACACAGATTACATGGAAAAATAGCCAACATCAGAGGTGTTATTTTTAACCAATGTCTATTCTGTCAGTTGACATTGTACTTATCAGAAGCAAGTCTGTCTCTCTCCATCTGTTTTTGAATATTCACTTTTCTTTACTGCCACAGCTCTGATGCACACACAGATACATTCAGTTCAGCTCTTTAGAGCAATTTCAGCCCAATTCCTTTCAGACTAATTCATTCAAGTTAGCAGATTGTTTCTTTTCTCAGTGCTTTGAGCAAATTAAATTTGGATTTATTTCCGTTGCATTTATGGAAATAAATATTCTCTTGATCTGCACAAATAAACCAGCCATTCTGCATTCTCAAAGTTTTCAAACCTTTCAGGGTTTAGGAAGCGTAGCAATTTTAAAAAAACAAAAAAACAAAAAAAAAACGATACAAGGTTGATTATTTCCACTATTTCACATACAGGTTTATTCCAGAAAAGCATAACTAATGCAGCAATGAAGCTGTGGCATACTTCTTGGCTTTACCTCAAAGAGGATAATCTTTTTACTGAGATGACGCAGACCGGGCAATGCTTACTCCAGCATCATATTAATTCTAATGACACTTTTAATGAATGTGTATAGACACATACACCTGGTTATGACACACAACATGACTTCATTTATAGAGAGCTGCTCTTCTTTTACTGACAACAACAAAACTTTTTTTTTTTTTTAAACTGTAGTCAACACACGCTCAAGAATGGTCATCAACGCACAAATACTTCTTGTTCAACACGTTCTGTGATTGTACACAGTGTTTAATTTAAGTGTTAAACACATCAACTTGTTAAAATATTAGGAAAGTGTGTGGCGTTGCAGGCACTTAGTTATCGGAGCACATTTTGTAAGCTGCTAATGTCGTGTAAACATGTCAGGCAGTGTTGTACACAGTAGTCCTGACATTTCTCTCTGTGTAGGAATGGTACAAATTAGTAAGAGACTCACAGGAACTGAGATTCAGAGTTTGACATTATTTTTGAGTTTAAAGTGTAGTCTGTTGAATGCCTGACTTTTAAATCTGTTTACTGTATCCATTAATCTCAACACTCCTAATGTTTGGTTGAACTGACCCTGCAATCAAACTGTCATAAGATGTTTTCTCATAAGACATTTGTGCACACTTGAATGCCCTTCTTTTTTTTTTTTTTTTTTTTTTTTTTTTTGGTTAAATGATCCATCATCCATTCTGAAATTTGATGATTTAACAGTGTTGTTGACTTGCATATGTATATCTGTGTGTGTACACATTTTCAGGTGGTGTTTGGCTCCATTGTTCTCCTGATGCTTTGGCTTCCTATAAGAATCATCAAGCTGCTGTTCCCAAACTTTCTTCCCTACAATGTCATGCTTTATAGGTACACAGAGTAAACATTTGAAATTCCGAAAACTATTGAAGACCCCAAACTGCAGAGTTTACTGGGTTTTTTTTCCTAAGTCACTGTAAAAAGACCCCTGGGTGCTACTTGCAGTCAACCATGTTCTGTTCTGCATACCAAATATTCTAACAGCTAAATGTTTGATAAAATGTTATTACAATAACGCTTTTGATCTGATAAATGTCATCGTTTAAATGTCTGTGAAGGTTCTCAGTCATCCAGGTCATCGTTTAAAATGTACTGTGATGATCTTAATGACTGTAGTCTAATCATAATGGATACGATAATCATGAGTCTGTCTGAATTGAGGAGCAGTGTCTAGTTTTCATGTTATGTTGGGACGTCTGTGATGAAAACTGTAGAGTTTAGTTATAACTGCGGTTCCTATTTTGATGAACTATATTAAAGAAACCGTATAATCCAGTTACATTTTCAAGAACATGATTTGGGCTCTAGCACTTGACATAATTTAAAATACACTTTATCTTTGTCTTTAAAGCACTTAAACTGTGGAAATGGGAAATCTGTAGAAAATGAACTGCTCAAAGGTCGTGATGTGTACATTGTGAAGTGAAATGAGTTTGGTTTGTGTTCTTCCTCTGCAGTGACGCCCCGGTCAGTGAGCTGTCGTTGGAGCTGCTGCTGCTTCAGGTGGTTCTGCCAGCACTGTTGGAGCAGGGCCACACTCGCCAGTGGCTCAAGCGCCTCATCCACGCCTGGACATTCACAGCTGGATATGCGCTGTAGGCTGGAGATGCACACACTCGCACACACTGCCAATTTAACACTAGATTTACTAAACCTGCGCTAATTTGCGTAACTTCCCTAAACCCAACACCTACTAGAATTACTGTTTTTTTTATTTTCTGGTGCAAGTCCCGAGGTGTTAATCACCCCTGCTGAGATTTTCACAGGTCGTCAGCTCGTTTCTCCTCCAGCTTTTGTTGTGCAAACCACCCATTATCCTTGAGGCCTGGCACATTTGCATTTGCTCACTCACAGATCCAAGCCAGGCCAAACCTCTGTGTTACGACCTTCAGAAATTCCTGCCATATCGATACAAAAGACACACATTCACAATATATGGGTACACAAGTCTGTTTTATTTGTTTTAAGTGTTTCAAACTTTACAGCGTTTGCAGACCCAGTGTTCATCATCCCTGCATTTGGCACAGGTGAATTTCTGACATGTTGCACAGGTAAACCTGCTGCGATTCCTGTTGCAGCTCTCTTGCACCTGGCACTGTGTTGTCTTTCCAGTCCCTGGCACAGCAGCTTCAGCAGGCTGTGCTAATATTTCCTTGTGCTGCATGAATCGGCAACGACGTTCCCGAGCTAGAAGACTCAGAAACAATCTTCTTTTGCCTGTCCACCCTGTACATGCCTTGTACAAAATGTAGGCATTCCCTGCCGCCAGGTCCAGCATATTGTAGAAAACTGCTACTGGCCACCTGCGTGTTGCTGCTCTTACTGAATACATCCGCGCAAGTTGAGGAAGTTCACGCCGTACTTTATTCACCATGCCCAGTAACGTTGTTTTGCGCTGCAGCAGTCTGTGTGACAGTGAAGTAAAGAAATTGTCCGTTGTGACCTTTCTCCCATCATCCAAAAACGGCTCCATCAGTTTCATGACCACGTTCTCTGCCAGCCTCTCTCCCTTCTGACGACTGGGGTCCTTTCCCCAGTAAGGAGATGCACTGCAGACATATTTGGTGTCCAAGTCTGTGGCCATCCAGAACTTGATCCCAAATTTGTCTGGCTTGGTTGCAATATACTGTGTGAATGGACAACGAACCTTGGTAGGGAACAGCTGTTCGTCTATGGTCATGTGTTCTCCTGGAGTGAAACTCTTAGCACAGTTCTCGTTGAAGCGTGTCCAGATGTCAGAGATCGCCGCAAATTTGTCTGTTTTCACCCGTTCTGCCCGCATGTTCTTGTCATCAAATCGAAGGTTTTGCATAATTGAAATGAATCTATCTCGGGGCATTGTCTCTTTGATTACTGACACCAGAAATCTTTCTGACCAGCAATCCACAATGGCACCAACGGGACACATGATTGCTCTTACAAACAGAATTGAAATGAATGCCATCAGTTCATGAACTGACAAATTCCAGTGCGGCTCTGTTCTGCGGGCTTGATGTACCGTACAGTCTCTGATGGTGTGCAGCATTCCCACGTCTAACAGGCAAAGGAAGCTTTGGAGCACACTTGTAATTTTATGCTGTTGGAAGATAAACAAATAGAGAATGGTAAATTTACATGAACCTCACTCTAAATGGATTTATCTAAATATCATATGTAACATGGCAATGACAAACCTTAGCAGACTCTGTGGGTCCAGCTTGCGCAGTGAAGCACGAGCGATTTGCTCCTGCACTGGGCATTCCATTGTCCTCCTCTACCCACGCAGTGCCTTCTTTTGCCGTCTGGCTCAGACAGGGCTTCCCAGTACCACGGGGCCTCTTCCGAGGAGGCATGTTGGGTTCTTCCGTCTCCTTTTCAGATTCTTCTGA